GTCTCTCAGAGTTAGCAATGGTAACAAGAACCATATCCTGCAACTTGGCGCCCTGACCTGTGAGCCAGCTGAACTTTGCAGACGACCGGTCCATTTTCCTGAGCAATGGTCCTGGACCAACAGCGGTCATCCTGTGCCAGGCTGAGCTGGAGATCCGATATGCGGTCCTGATCTGAATGCTTCCCTGATGAGAGTGTGACCCCCTGATTTCAGTGGCAGTTGTGAACAGTCCCACACATCATCGGGCCGGCCAGAAACTATAGGTAAGCGGAACCTTGATTATACATAAACTCCGCACATTGAATTAATTCTAAATTAAAGCTGATGTGTGGGCTGCCCACTCTCGACCTTCTAAATTGGTTCCAAAACAGTAAGGTTAAAGAAACACAGTTTTTTTTCCTGTTTTCGAATGCTGTGCTGGTTTGTTCTTTGTCACATGTACAGTTAACAGAAGCACATAGTCTCACTTGAGGGGAAGTAAATGAGTGCCGTTGATCACAGAATTTGATGCCAATAAGGGACGTAAAATCCTCGTTTCATAAGTGGATTTTTGCTACGTTGTAGCAGTTGTCTCCTCTATTTTCCCATTTCCTTTTTAATTTCCCTCCGGCTGGAGCAGAGGCAGAGACTCCTCTCAACCAAACAAATGACTCTCTGATACATACACACATGTGATAACAGGCACAGGGAAAGTTGCTGTTCTCTGTGTGGGGGGATAACTGTACAAAAGGCTAATTAAAACGTTTTTCCATAAGTGTATCATGCTGGACAATAGGTTCATTGTGAGAATTCGTTGTGGAGTTAACGTGCCTTGTACAGCAGTGTAAAATTTTGGGTGGGAATAGATTTAGTGGGGAAAAATTGCATCAGTTAGGTTGAATGCTTGTCCTGTTGAGATAAAACGGTGAAATTGATTGGGAATCAACCCCCAGAAATTGTGCGCAGAAGGGGTTAGCCTTCTGTAGAAGATTCACAGTTTGATCAGTCTCACCGGGCCAAGAGTCTCTCATAAAGGACAGCGTCACGTGTGGCATATTAATATTTCATGATGGCTGACTGTGATGTGAT